CTGACTGACAACTCTTCTTGTTGTGCAGCGTTTTCTGCCACACTTTTCCTTCCCACAGAGCGCTGTATCAAGGCACCTCAATGGGAAGTCTTAAAATATTAAAACATATTAAAACAACAAAAGGCTTGAACTACTTCAGTTGGTGTGCAATGAATCTAAAATGTATGAAAGTTTAATGTTTATCAGTACATTACAGAAAATAATGAACGTTATCAGAATACGCTAATTTCTTGAGAAGGACCTGTATATGTATACTTTGATAAAATATCACAAAAAATGCTTTATTGCACAAAAGCTGTGTTTTTATATATTTTTTAATTTTTGTAATTTTATTTATTTATTTATTTTTCATTTTTTGTATTCAATTACAAATGAATGGTTGAATGCACAAACAATGCTTCTGGCTATAAGAAACCGTCTGCATGAGGCTCTTATGGCTGCCTGACTCATATCAAGCAACTTTTGTTGGACAGATCTCAACAACAACAACTCCTACATATAAAAGAAAACACAAACATTAAAGCTGGTGATTTGGTGTAGGAGGAAAGGTGCAGAGCAGCAGAGGAAATGTACAAAGCCACATCCAAATCTGGTGTCAATTGTCAGGCAGACAACTCCTTAATTGTTCTGATCTTTGGTGTTTTTTAGGGTTTAGTTTTCTGTTTTGAGATTTATTTTCACATTTATTTCCTATGATGTTTTTTTTTAGTTTCTGTATTTTCTCTGTGGTCAACTTGTTTGAGTTCCTCTTTTTGTTTTCCTACCTCAATCATCACTTTCAGTTTCTGCTCGTCAGCTCTGGCCCCGCCCACACTCACCTGGTTCCCGGTTGTCATTTAGCCCACGTGTTTTCACCCGGCTCATCAGCCCCGGTTCATATCCAGTCTGGCTGCACGTCATGCCCTGGTCTTCTTGTTTTGTCTCTCTCTTGTGATGCTGCAGCATCTTGTTGTTTCCTGTTTAATGAACCTGAAAGTTTTTATTTGAGCACCTTCACATTTCTCTGCAACCCTGGGTTTGATGCCTCAAAACCTGCAGACCTAATGTGAGATATGCTCTTCAAGGTTTCAGAGTTTGACAAAACAGATTTATTTAGGTTTGCCATTCATCAAAAAAGCAGAAATGACTTTTAATTGCCTTTTTAAAAATATCTTTAAATGTTTGCTGTACTCAGTATGCACTATATTATTATTTTATGCACTCTGAGCTACGACTACCCAAATCAAATTCCTTGTATGAGCATACAAGGTCAATAAAGCTTGTTTCTGATTTCACATCCCACCGCCCTCCATATCTACCAGTCATTGTTCACTCCAACTCGTTTRGCCATTTTTGTAGTTCTCTGGCAGCACAKAAATGCTTTATTTACCAACCGATTAAAAGATGTCAAAAACCTAAGACTTGTCCAGCCTCACATGTCAGAGTCTGACCCAGAGTGAGAGGAGAATAAAAATAACATGCAAAATGGCAAATTCACAAAATCTGTAAGTCGGAAGTCCATGGCCTTGTTTAGCAGTTCCAAATATGTAATAGTTAAAAAAAAAAAGGGAATACAGAAAACTGAACGGACTATGACCCAAACATAAAATTAATATATATCTACGCAGCACCGAGAGAGACTAAATTCAACTTTCCTGCACTCCTGCAGACTCAAAGTACACAACAAAATAAATTAAAGGGCTAAAAAAGAGGATTTTGCACAATATGTCCCCTTTAAATGCAACACATTTTCTACTGCATGTGTTCAAAGCTGTGTGGAACCTGGACTATTTTATAAAYAAAAGATCTCACATCTGATTTTATGTTTTCTGTATAATGTATGCTATTAAACCTTACCTTTAATAAATGCTCTAAATAAAATAAGTGTTTAAAAAATGACACAAATATTGAGCTAAGCTTGGTGGACATAAACAATGAAACAAACCATGTTATCTGGTTTTGGCTCACTGGGATTTCTTGTCTGTGAAAACAACAAAAACAACAAACTTCATTTTGTTCCCAACAGATTTAGCTGTTCTTCAGAGTTGCCTGGTGGCAGCACTGTTACCGGGTGTTACCTGTTCCCAGGTGATGCCTTCAGCATCACACCTGATTGATTGCTAGTTTTTTTTTAGATGTAAATACGCCTCACAAGTGTTTTAGGAAGCCTTTTGGAGCTTTCTGAATGTGTAGAGACGACTCAGCTTCTGTCGATGTGCAAATTCAAAAGCGCTTTGGGAACCTTTGGACTTACAAACAAAACGGGAGCTGCACTATGTCTGTAAAGGCAACATGGTCGGCTGTTTGCAAACCAGAAATTCTGTGTAAAAGGGTTCAAATTTAGACGTCAGCGAACTCCTAAAGGATTGTAGAATGATTCTTCGAGGGATTAATGACTTTGAGTGATTCAATGGCACTCGGGTACGGTTCAAAGAAATCCTTTTCATGTGATCAGGAGGTCGAACCTGCTTCTCTGAACAACGAGGTTAGTAATATTGTTAAAAAAAATTACAACACATTAATTCATGTTGTTAGAATGACACTGTTTGAGCGTTTTAAGAATAATTTTGACACATGAGCCTTTTCTCASTTGAAGTCAAACAGAAGCTTTTGATGTGGTTTTGATTGTCAGTTGAAATCTATGAAAAAAGTCACATTTAAGTCTCAGGTTCCTTTGACTTAAAAACCTCATCTTGTTGAGAGTTCTTCAACATGACTGGACTTTGTGTTTTTACCGCGGTCGTGTGCATAATAATGYAGCAGTCATCTCGAAAAGGGGAACACTAATTCATACATCAAAGTCTGGCAACGGTTGTAAGGTGCACGCGTATATGTCGACAACACTTTGATGTCAAGGTGCTGTGCTCAAGTCAAACTGTGCTTTTCAGAAGGTTGAGCACAAAAACAAAAAGAAAAATACAATAACAACACAAACAATAGCTTACACTAGTTGTTTTCTCCCCACTATCCCTCTCTGCTCAGGGCCATGCTCTCTGCCTAAAATAAGACAGACACATAAAAACTTTATTCAGTTATAGTAATGAAACCTCTGATGCTTCTAGCTGATCTTTATAGTTTATAACATCAACATTTACACACACTTCCTATAGCCATTTACGTTTTCTAGAGTCATTTACCTGTGGCAGCCTTTTTCCATTTGGTTAACACAAAAAAGGAACTCTTTTGTAGAGTAATTACTTCCTGAAAGTTTTATTAAAAGCTGTTTGGTGGTTTACAAGATATTTTGCTAACACAGCACAGGCTCCAGCAGTTAGTGGCAACATTTTTTTAACCTACATTCAGACATTATGGTAGTCTCTCTTGGCTGAGATAAGCTTTTGTTTGTGAACAGGCAGCAGCTGCCTCTCAAAATGCATTTCATCTGACCAGGAGGACCYGGACCTGCAAGTGTCTGCTCGCCTTCTCCATCATCTTCATCATAATCCTTCTGATTACAGGAGCCATACTGGCCTGGTACTTCCTAGGTGAGCAGTTCTTTCACCCTTGTTTACTTATTTATTTTTTTCAGCAGCAATGGGGGTGCTGGAAAATGTCTGGAGTAAAAAAAATGCACACGTCAAGTGGATTGCTGTTGGATTTCTGTGGTATAATTTAGATATTTGGGTTTTTTTCATTTGCAAACTGATGGACAAGTCTTCTGTTGTTGTTGTTGTTCGCAAAAACATAAAAAATAAAACTAGCACATCTGAATTTTTACAGCTGATGTTCAAAAGAGTTAAAAAACAATACAACTCCACTTCAGTTCTGTAGCTGAAGACATATTTCCTCCCATCCAAGAAGCATATTTTGAATTTCTGACTGAAAATCTACACCAGCAACTGAGCAACAGCAGAGAAAATTTGAGAATTTTTTCATGTACTCAGCTCCACTGCTCATCCCACAAATGCATGTTCCTTACACCATTTGAAGGTGGAATTAGGCTTACCAACGATACAAGATTTATTGCCAAGAAGCATTGTTACAGCAAATAAATAACACACATTTCCTTCCTTTGTCTGCTAAGTATATATGACTGGTACAGGTTCAGTGTCGATGCCTGCTCTTCGTTTCTGACAGAATACAGGGTTTGGACGTTGGAGCTTCGTGTTGAGCAGCAGTATGCGGCCTACWTAACCATCACCAACAGGAACTTCTCTGCTGACATGTCTTCTCACAACAGCCCAGCRTTCAAGAATGAAGCCAAGGGAGTCGAAAACACAGTGAGCAGGAACCACTACCTCCTTTTAAACACTGGTTTTAACCTRAATCACTCAGTGACTCTAACAGATCGAGATAACTGATTCTTTACTAAACAAAGATGCAACACTTTTGTATTTTACCAAATGAGATTACATCTGCAAGAGCCATGATATATTTTGTGRCAGAGGGTCCAGCAGTAGGAACGTATACAATGACTTTGTTTAGAATAATTTACCCCMAAAACAGCTGCTGGAACATCAGTAGCAGTTTTCAGAACCAATAAATAGACTCACAGCCCAGTAGTTCAAAATACGCAAATTCAAAATAACTCAAAACACCTGGAATCATTTTAGTAAAACTTCAGTAGATGAAGACTGGAGCAAAGTGAAGCTGAGAGTTTCGATATGACACTGTGTTTTTTGTTTTGTTTTGTTTTATAGATAAAGAAGCTAATGAAATCCTCATCTCTTTCTAAATATTTTAACCATACCACTGTCTTTGCGTTTGGGTAAGTTGATTGTCATTTTTCACGAGATAACACAGCAAACAAAAATTTAAAATTRAAACCACTCGGTTTAATGCTGAGACGTGATCCGGCCTCTCGTCATTCTGAACAGAACAAAGTGGTTCCAGAGAACGAGTGGGAGGCTGGGTGGAAACTGTGAAGCAAAATTAGCCAYCCGCCTATGAATAAACTATATAAAGCTTGGGTTTGTAAAGTGGTGCAAGATGCAAAAAGGTGCAGTTCAAAGTGACATCAGAAATACTTCAGCTGTTTCCAAGCAAATGAACCTGATCATACTTTCCTGCAGATATTTGTTTATATTCGTCTTWGCAAATTGCATCATGAGGTGTTGACAATGTTACGAGGCTTATCATAATAATAGCAGAGCCAATATAAAGACGGATAATTAAAAGAACAATATTTTGCAGTGAAGTACATTCCATCGTCTCAGATGGCAGTGGAGCACCTAAATCTAGACTGATATTTCAAAAATAAAAAATGTTGATATAAATCTGAAACATCTGTGCCTTGGTTTCTGTAGGGAAGGGAGTGTGGTGGCTCACTTCTGGATAGTTCTGTCTGTGCCCAGCAGCCATGTTGGTAGAGTCACAGAGGAGAAGGTCAGCAGAAGTCTGGAGGACAGCCTGATGTGGTACAGAAGATCAGCAAAGGAAGAGACAGCGAATGTTGACGGCTACCTGTTCTACCTTCCCACACTGTCTGTCAGTGGTGAGGCAAAGTCTGTGTAGCTGTATGTGTGTTTTATTACCTTGTGGGGACAATTTTTGACCATTTTGTGAGAGTCTACTCTTCCTTATGGGGACGAAAGCGTCTTCATGAGTTTAAAAGCTGTTTTTTCTCTCCATGTGTGTGTGCGTGGGGGGGGGGTAGGACTAAGGTGTAAATTCAGTTTAGGTTATAGTTTAGGGTAAGGGATCAGGGTTAGGCTTTAGAAATAATTAGTAAATTAATAAAAGTCAATTCAAAGTCCCCATGAGGATAGAAGAACAGATGTGTGTGTGTGATACAAAAACTAAAGAAAATATTTATGTTTCATGTTCTGTTTCTTTTTTTTATCTTTGCTCCACAGAGACAGACCACAAAGTTATAGGGCTTTTGAAAGCTTCATTTGGTATCAYTTTTTTATTCATTTCAATCTTTCTAATTGTCTTGTTACATTTAATCAAAATGTAGGCTAATGCATATATTGCATCAAACAAAACGCTTGAATGAAAAAATGAGTTAAAAGTCCCAATCTAAAGCATGTGTTTTGCATRTAAGACGTACTATTCTCTTCACAAGCAAGTCAAAATCACAAGTTAATTCACTTTATTAAAAATGCCACCAGTAATATCTGATTTAACACATTTAATTATTTCCCTGAAGTCTGCTTTGACAGACCAGCAATAATAACCTAAATCACAAGATTAGTCCCAAATAATATTTTAGTCCCAAATAATAACTCAGTGCCTTTTTTCYTGCTCAGATTGTTACCGCTATCAGAAGGTGGGCTCTAGCAGCCCTGTGGCTCTCCGTGGCCCCGACACGCACCGCTCCTCCTGCTTGTGGCACCTCCAGGCTGACCCCGGCTTCCAGCTGGAGCTCCACATGGAGTGGCTGCTGCCTGAGTGTCGAGACAGGCTGGTGGTCTACAACTCGCTCATCCCCTCCGATAATTATCTCATCACATCGTGAGTTTCTTGAACCCGGCTGAGTTTTTTGTGCGACATGGTCCTTTGTGGGTTTGGGCCTAATTCATCCCATCGTGTTAAACTTAAAACATCAGTGGGGGAGAAAGGCAGTTGTTGCTGACAGTTTTGCAAAACGTTCAAACTTSATTTAAGACATCTAATTTTGGCCTTTTTTATGTGTATTGGTTAATAAATCAAATCTTTTTCAAAAGAAAAAAACATGTCAGTGAATTTTATGCAGCTATATGAAAACATAAGTTCCAATTGTTCTTTTAAGTTAAGGCGARTGTCAGAAACAGTAAGAGGTTCTTAAAGAGACTGAGGCCAATTTGTATTGTATATTGATATATACAGTATTCTTATATGTTASTTTAATGTTGTATAGACATAAACTATGTACCCGGTAAATACAGCGGGTAAAATAAGTATTGAACACGTCACCATTTTTCTCAGTAAATATATTACTAGAGGYGCTAATGACATGAAATTTTCACCAGATGTTGGTAACAACCCAAGTGATCCATACATACAAAGAAATCAAACCATAAATGTCCAGAAATGAMGTTATTTGTAATAATGTGGAATGGCACAGGGAAAAAGTATTGAACACATGAAGAAAGGGAGGAGTAAAAAGACATGGAAAGCCAAGACACCAGCTGAACTCTCTCAGTAATTAGAAAGCAAGCCTGCCCCTTGTCAGTGCAAGTTAATATCAGCTGGTTCAGTCCCATATGATGGCCAGGTATCACACAAGAACCATCTGATGATGGGTAAAATTAAAGAGCTCTCTCAAGACCTTCACAGCCTTATTGTTGCAAAGCATGATGATGGCATCGGTTACAGAAGAATGTCTAAACTTCTGAAGGTTCCAGTGAGCACTGTTGGGGCCATAATTCAGAAGTGGAAAGAACATTATTTCACCATAAACCGACCACGACCAGGTGCTCCTCACAAGATTCCTGACAGAGGAGTGAAAAGAATTATCAGAAGAGTTGTCCAAGAGCCAAGGACCACTTGTGGAGAGCTTCAGAAAGACCTGGAATTAGCAGGTACGWTTGTTTCAAAGAAAACAATAAGTAATGCACTGAACCACCATGGCCTGTATGCACGCTCACCACGCAAGACTCCACTGCTGAAGAAACAGCATGTTGAAGCTCCTTTAAAGTTTGCTGCACAACATTTAAACAAGCCTGTGTAATACTGGGAGAATATAATCTGGTCAGATGAGACCAACATTGAACTGTTTGGATGCCAGAACACACATCATGTTTGGAGGTCAAATGGCACTGCACATCAGCCCAAAAACACCATAMCAACAGTGAAGTTTGGAGGTGGGAACATCATGGTGTGGGGCTGTTTTTCAGCATATGGTACTGGCAAACTTCAAATAATTGAAGGAAGGATGAGCGGAAAAATGGACAGAGACATTATTGATAAAAATCTGCTTCCATCTACCAGGATGATGAAGATGAAACGTGGCTGGACATTTCAGCGAGACAATGAGCCCAAACACAAAGTCAAGGAAACTCTCAGTTGGTTTCAGAGAAAGAAACTAAAGCTGCTGGGATGGCCCAGCCAATCACCTGACCTGAATCCAACAGAAAATCTATGGAAAGAACTAAAGATCAGAGTTCATAGAAGAGGTCCACGAAACCTTCAAGATTTGAAGACTGTTTGTGTGGAAGAATGGGCCAAAATCACACCTGAGCAATGCATGCCACTAGTTTCTCCATACAGGAGGTGTCTTGAAGCTGTCATTGCCAACAAAGGCTTTTGTACAAAGTATTAGATAAATTTCAGGAAGTGTGTTCAATAGCCATGTGTTTTTTGTGTGTTTTGTGCCATGTGTGTTCATTCCACATTATTACAAATAACTTCATTTCTGGACATTTATGGTTTGATTTCTTTGTATGTATGGATCACTTGGGTTGTTACCGACATCTGGTGAAAATTTCATGTCATTAGCACCTCTAGTAATATATTTACTGAGAAAAATGGTGACGTGTTCAATACTTCTTTTACCCGCTGTACATAATACCTCTCTTTGACATCTTGACAAAGTTATGTGTGTTTTATTCTTTTTCTGTCATCTTTCTCTCTGAAGTGTGTACGGCTGCAGTCGACAYGAGCGTGTGGTGAGCGTCCTGTCGTCAGCAGAGTGGATGACGGTGGTTTGGAAACAAGGTCTTTACAATTACAAGGACCCCTTTTCTTTGTCTGCACAAGCCTGGCCCCAACAGGGTGAGATGGAAATTGTCACACAACAAAATGTGGGGGGGGGAAAAAGGAGCAACATTGTTTATGTTTTAGGTCAGTGGTGTTAAAAAAGAAGCTTTTCTGAAYGTGAAACGAACTCGTTAAAAAAATGGAAAAGAAATATTCAAGAGGTGTGGGAGAAGAGTAAGTAACTTTATTTAAATAGCACTTTTCTCAGTCAAATAGCCACCAAGTGCCGCACATTGAAACTTCACAATAAACCACAACAGAGCATATAAACAAACATATTTACAAATGATAAAAACATTAAAAAGGACAACATGAAAACTCRAACATGTTAAAAGCCTGTTTTAAATGGTGAGTTTTAAGCTGCTTTTGAAAAATTTCACCTGAATCCACAGCTCTTGGAGATTGTAGTAATGTGTTCCGAAATTTAGGAGCTACGACCAAAAATGCTCTATTCCCACGTGTCTGTAGTTGGGATCGAGAAACAAGTAGTTGTCTGGAATTACTGGATAAGTTTGCGTAAGGGTCCGTGTGTGTGAAGTAAATCTGCCATGGAAGTGGGAGCCTGGTCATGCAGCGCTGTGTAAGTGTTTGTGAGAATTTTAAAGTGGATCCTGAACTCCACAGGAAGCCAATAGAGTGAATGTAACCAGGGAGTGATATGGGAGCGTTTATCTGACCTGGTGAGCAGTCGAGCTGCAGCAGTTTGAACAGCCTGCAAATGATTTTTGAGTGATCGAAGAAAAAAAAAGCGTGTTTAAGAGAAGCAAACATCCTGGTTAAAATAGCTTTGGCCTTTAAACCTGCCAATTTGTTCAACATTTCTAAAGGTACTTATTATTTTGTTRTTCTTGTGCTGAAATATTGTAAACTTAGCTAAATTATATTTTAAATCCATCTTTAATCTTCTTATTTATAACAAAAGCAGAAAAACAAAGGTCTTACTATAAATTTATGTATTACTCAGAGTTGTAATTCTGTTTTTTTATTTTATTTATAATATTTATGTCAGAAGAAAATTTGCATTGATGGTTTAAACCTCTCTCTCTCTCTTAACCCTTGTTTTATACCTCAGACTGTAATTCTACCATAAAACTGGAGGCAGGATCAGGGGTCCAGGGAACTCTAAAGACCCCCTTCTTTCCCAGCTACTATCCTCCAAACACCAACTGTACCTGGACTTTTACTGTTAGTGATGMCTCTACATCTCCTAACATGAATCCACACACAAAGTATCTGAATATTGTTTGTTTAAATGTAACATGTTRTTTCAGAAGCTCAGTACGGGGACAGGTTTGGCTCTGGAGTTCGAGGGCTACGAGCTGAGCAGAGCCAGTTACAACCAGGCCTGTACCCAGGGTCAGTGGATCATCCAGAACCGAAGGTAAACCCAACAGTCATCTGAGTGGTTGAGGCACTTCATCCTRACACAGGAGTTACATAAGCAATTTATTCATGAACTACAGTATTTGTTCATTTAACAATGTAAATAAATCTTAAAGGTTAAAATCAAACAGTGTAACATTTGTTTCTTTACAGTCTTTTGACTCAAACCTTCCTTCAAGATATTTTTCCCCWATCAGAATTTGTTTTTCACACAGATAGACAATCATGTGTAACCAGTTAATGTTTCATTTTAWGCATTTGAGCAGTGTGCAGGTGCACATGTATTTTAGGCTGTGGTTTAACACTCCTTTATTTAGACACCACATTCCGGTGACAGCAGAAAATGTACGGAGCCCGCGAGGTGACATGGGGAGATTTTTTTTCTTTTGCGTTGCCACGCAATAGTATTGTGTTACCTCGCAATACTTTCGCTTTACCTCGCAATACTTTTGCGTTACCTCGCAAAATTGTTTTGCATTCCCACGCAAAAAGATTGTTTTGTATACGAACTGAATTAAATCAGACTTTTATTTTGAAATATCTGGTTACCAAAACAGGATGTGTCGCCACAATTTTGTGAAATTGACATTGATGTTGCGTGGCTGCACTGTGTTAAAATAACGGCATATTGACATACTTCCATATGGCTGTGTGATATATTCATTGTGAAGCTGAATTAAAGCAGCAGGCTAACTCGCTAATGGTAAACATGTGAGTTTGTTAAAAAACCGGCAGGCACTACAGTGATAAACTACTTTTGCGTGGAAACGCAAAAGGTATTGCAAGGTAACGCAAAAGTATTGTGAGGTAACGCAATAGGCCTACTATTGCGTGGGAACGCAAAATAAATTAAATCTCCCATGTCCCCTCGCGGGCTCCGTAAAAATGAAACACAAAATGTGTAAATGAAAAAAAAAAACT